TCGGGGCCCATTTAAATTTTACCAATCAAATCTTCCCAAGGGGCCCCGACTGCGAGTCGTTCTGTACTGCATTAGAATTTATGATTTGTTTTATGTGTGTATCAATTATAAAACTATTTCAATCGTTACACCAGAAGAACAAGAAAGAATGCTCGTGTTCTTGCTCTTACTCTCTGTTCGTTTGGTTTAAACGCACATTTACACAATCGCTGAACAAAGAATTTCGTACGAAGTCGAATTCGTACCCAAACATGTTGCGCTTTTGGAGGAGCGTTCTGTGGAACATTTTTAATCTATGAGGGCCCACGACAACAATAAAAAATTTAGTTTATTCAATCCATAATACAACTTGTTACTTATATATATACTAGCATTTGCCCGCGACTTCGTCCACGTGGTAAAGTTACTTTGAGCAACATTTCAAACTAATATATTCATTATATCGTGTAAAATACCTAAAATAAAGTTCCATCCCTTATTTTATCCCCTTAGAAGTGGAATTTATCAAAATTCTTTCTTCCTTTTACCTACGTCATAGTAGTTTTATGCATGCAAAGTCTCAGCCGGATCGGTTTAAAATTGAAAAAGTTACATACACAAGTTTCATAAAATCCTTTCTTAGAGGATGTCTACGTCATAACATCCACCTGCATGCCAAATTTCAGTCCGATCCATCCAGTGGTTTGGGCTGTGCGTTGATGGATCACTATGTCAGTCAGTCACCTTTGAGTTATGAGTTATATATATATATAAGAACAAATATTGTTTTGTTCTTTCTTATATATAGATATATTGTTTTGTTCTTTCGATTTGCACTCCTTTTCTCACATTTTAATCCTGCTCGTCTCAGCTGGAGTGACGGCTAAAAATCAGTGCTTCACTATCGATGATTTCAATGCACTGAGCCTTTCTCTCTACTACACACAGGTATGTACATGCTTGTTTTAGTTTTTTTTTTTCTCTTGTGTTTTTCTTTTATTAATTGTATTTTATTTTTATTCTCTGTATAATGTAGTTGTGTGTTGCATATTGAATAAATGAATTATCTATCTATTTCAGTTTATATTTTAAAATTTTATATTTGCAAGGAATCCTTATGTGGTGGAGTCTGTCCGCTCTTAAATACTATTCTAAAGATAGCCTCGGTCGATTGCAATTTAAATATATAAATGTAACTCTACACGTCATCCTACAATGCTGACGTATTAATAGCAGCCTACGGTGGTAATGTTAGTCATAGAAATAACCCCTTTAGTGTTATTTTTAGCATTGAAAAATGAAAGTGACGTCAGGTTCTAGAAATAACTCTCAACTCACCGAAGTATTTTTATTTTTGGAAAAATGGTCGGTTTAATACAATAAAATGCGTAAACTAACTTAAGTCACCCGCGTATGATATTTTTATGATCGGATCTTAAGATCATAAATAGTAACGAATCAGTACTTCTAAAAAATAATATAATTTATCTCTTTATATTAAACTATATACATAACAACCTTCCTTTTGAATCACCCTATCTATGAAAAAAACCGCATTAAAATCCGTAGCGTAGTTTTTATAGGGACAGAGAAAGCGACTTTGTTTTACACTATGTAGTGAAGCAATAAGCATAGATAAAAAAACGTGAAAACAAAATAAAAAACATGCAATAATATATTGTATTTGTAATTATTAAAACAAAAAAATAAGATCTTTTTCTAATATTAGAAATAAAATTGCATTATTTTATTTATAATATATATTACAATGAACTTCAAAATCCATAACCAAGATGTTTAAGTATGATCCACACGGTTGGAAACTCAAGTTCTTAATAAGGTCACCTTTATTTGAACTAAAAGAACTAAAGAAACAAGTTGGAACCAAAGGTAAGTCACCTTTTTTGTCTATAGAGCGTCCTCCCCATAAAATTTATTAGCTTTCAGTGGCAAAAACTAAAAACACATGAATGAGTCTCACTTATTCAGCTTTTGCTCACTAAAAACGCCAATTCGTTAATAAATAGACATTATTTGTAAAGAAACTACTCAATAGACGACGTTATTTTGTGTAAAGTTCTTAACGTTTAAAAAACTTTTGAATTTATTTAACAAAAAGAATTGAACAAGGGCGTGGTCTGTTACTACTAGGATTAGAACGTTATCTGCAACCGTGTGGGACATACTTTATAATGAATTTAAACCCAATAAATATATATCACGACTCATTCCAATCAGCTGAAGTATAAATAAAGTAACATCGCCATCAAAATCTTATAGTTCCCAAGAAGATTAGCAGCGTTGTTGTGTCTCGATAAAGTACCTGAAATAAATATAGAAGATTATAAAATAGAGGAACTTGTTTAGGTCATCAAGCCGCTGGTTCCACATGCACTTGCAGTTATTAGCCACCTAGGCTGTTTAACTACTTTTTTTTACTTTATAAATGATTCGTCCATTAATATCTAAGAAATAATGTAAAAATAACAGCATGTCTGCGATTAATAGTTTCGAGGCGCTAAGTGACGTCACACACGTTTGTTACTTATGTACAGTAGCAAAAAACGTGTAATAGTCTGGGCAATCTTTATAATATCTTTGTTATAATGAAAGTTCTACGATTTTATGTAACTAACTAGCTTTTGCCCGCGACTTCGTCCGCGTGGTAAAGTTACTTTGAGCAGCATTTCTAACGAATATTTATTCATTATTTCGTGTAAAATACCTGAAATAAAGTTTCATCCCCTATTTTATCCCTTAAGTGATGGAATTTATCAAAATCCTTTCTTAGGAGATGCCTACGTCATAGTAGCTTTATGCATGCAGAGTCTCAGCCCGATCGGTTTAAAATTGACAAAGTTTCATACAAACTTTCATCCCCTATTTTATCCCCTTCGGGGTAAAATTGATCAAAATCCTTTCTTAGCGGGTGCCTACGACATAACATCTACCCGCATGCCAAATTTCAGCCCGATCCGTCCAGTGGTTTGGGCTGTGCGTTGATAGATCACTATGTCAGTCAGTCACCTTTCAGTTATATATATTTAGATTATTTTCCCGTGGGAATGCGTCATTTTCCCGCGGTAAAAAGTAGCCTATGTCCTTTCTTGGGTATTAAAATACCTCCATACCAAATTTCATGCAAATTGGTTCAGTGGTTTAGGCGTGATTAAGTAACAGACAGACAGAGTCACTTTCGCATTTATAATATTAGTATGGATTCAATGCCATATATATATTAGCCAATTTTTGTAATATTCCCTATCTTTTTCAAACTTTCAAAACGTTATATTTTCCAAATTGGGGCAATAAAATTTGTTTCATTAAATATTTATAAGTTAAAATGGATCATATTTTCCGAACATACAACAGAAACCTGAATTATATGTTATAGTAGTAGTGAGTAGCTCGGTGGTGTAGCAGATAAGCGCCGCGGCTTGCGAACGTTGTTGTTAAGCAACTTTCGCGAGGGTCGGTCACGGGATGGGTGACCGAAAAATTATATAAAAAACAAAATCGCATCAAGTTCAATTTAAATAGCGTTTATAATGGCGTACACTGATTCTACATTTAAAAAAAACTAACGATTCATCGTTCTTTTTTTGGTCAATTAACCATTAACATGCTTATTAGTTAATGTTCTTAGTTTTACATTGATTTATTTTCTTTTTTGTTTTGTAGTTTTTAAACATACGTTACTCACTGTCACTGTTCACTGTTTATTTCTTGATAATTAGCTATTTCTCTTTGTGGAGATGATTTTTACATAACATTTAAAGAACACTTTCTATTTTAATACTATTCTTGATACTTTGAACAAAGATTTACTATTTTTTATGAGTAAACATACGGAACTCACTATTTACTTCCACCGGAGTAGACTCTCATGGACGTAGCCGTAGTCGAAGCTATAACCTACGCTTTATCGATATTTCTTATGAATCCGTTTATACAATACAATACAATACAAAACTCTTTATTGTTCACATTAGACAATTAATTACATAATTTATAGTAAATTAACACTATTATGAAACAATTGGCGGCCTTATCGCCTAAAGCGATTTCTTCCAGGCAACCAGTGGATGGAGAGAGATAACATGAATAATGAAGATGGGGGTGTAAATGTTAACAATATATCATTGAGGCACACTAATGACTTATTTAAAGTAACTAAAAAAAAAAAAAACAAAATTTTATTGCTAAATACACATACAAATGTACAATAAATAAATACGAGTCAAAAAATATATTCATTAACAACAAATACATACACACATATATAAATATATACATACACCTATTAATATCAAAACAGGAAAAAGCGATAATACGGCAGCAGTAATTATATTATTGTGTGAGATAGTATTCTTTAACATATTTTTTAAATATTTGTAAGGATTGCGCTCGCCTGATTGAAAGTGGAAGTGAATTCCATAGACGAACAGCTTGTACGGTAAAAGAAGAATCAAAAAATGAAGTGTGATGAGATGGAATCGCAAGACTCAGGTTCTCCGATGATCGCAAAGAATAGGAATTTGAGCAATTCAGAAAACTGAAACAATCTTTTAGATAGCAAGGGTAACTAGTATTGAACAATATGCTATAGAGAAGGGATAATATATGAGAATTCCGGCGAAGACGTATAGGAAGCCACTTGAGTTCAGAACGAAAATGAGAAACATGGTCATATTTGCGCAAACCAAATATGAAACGGACACAAAAGTTTTGTAAACGCTCAAGTTTATTAAGCTGGTCCTCCGAAAGATCAAGATAGCAGGCGTCGGCGTAATCGAGGATAGGAAGCAGCAAAGATTGCGCTAGCGCAGCTTTAGTGGCAGTGGGTAAGAAGTTTCGAAGTCTTTTCAATGAAGCGGCTGATGCATATAATTTTTTAAATTTTTATATTCTTTTAAATTTTTTTTTTGAATTTTTTGAATGCAAAACAAATTGCATTTCGAAATAGCATTGTCTGTATCAATTCGACATTTTGTAAATTTCGTTTAACTTTAATAATTCAGTTAACAAAAACAACCAAAATCATTGATTAAATTAAAAAATGATTAATTCTAAAACAATATCCACAGATTCATGTGTAAAACCTATAAAGCGTAGGCTATAGCTACGACTACGGCTACGTCTATGAGTTCTTCTCAATAATCGATTTATATACAAAGTAAGGATAGTTATACACTCACTGCAAGTCCCTTGACCAGGTATGTATGGATAGTCAAATGTACATTGACACAAACTGTTCCTACACTCGAGTCTGTGTGAACCATCCTCTAAGAAGCAGACGCTGCTCCTACTGCAAGCCTCGAAGATACCTAAACGAAAATACATTACAGATATTACAGTAGTTGAGCTTTATTAAAAAAAAAAGAGAAAAATAACATTCATCTCAAAAGCGACTTATTCAAGAAAATGGCGGAGATTGGGATAAGTATTATTTTTCACTTTTCTAAGTTTGAAATCGGTGCATTTTTTTAAAGTTTTTATTTAATGCTTTTTAATGATATTGATATTTTCTTATATAATAGGTAACACTAAAAATACTTATCTGAAAACCGCGTCAAAATCGGTTCAGCCAAACGCGAGATAAATATTTTTTTATAGGAATAAACTACACATTAATTAATAAGAATTAAATAAGCCATAAGATTTTAAGGTAAGTAAACAAGTTCAACAATTGAGACGCCACAGTTTATTCTGTCTAGGCTGTTTTAAGCACTTCTGAGAGTAGAAACTCTATGCCATCGGTTCGTAAATATACAGTGGGAGAACTTTGTACTGATAACAAACGGCAAGAAACTCAATAAGAACTGATTATGTGTCTTAAATCTACATATACAATACAACAAATATGTAGGTACTATATTAAAGTTTAAAAATAAGAATTATCATTTACGCCATCTTAATAGGACAATGAGGAAGTATTTTAAGAATTAAAGAAAGCACTAAAAAGCACCTCACTAGATGGCGACACTATCAAAAGTTGATATTTGCAGCAAACGAAAGATAATCATTTCCGTTCCTTTTAACTAACCCATTAAAAAACTGAAATTTGCAAAGTTCGAAACTTAGATATCAATACAAATACGAAAAAGTACAAATAGAATATGAGTTGTTTATTGAGTTTTGAAAATTAGTTCACTTTTATACATGAAAGAAAACTGGAAGGACTGGCATTGAGAAATAGAAAAAGTAACGTAGCGACATCTAGTTTGATTTCGAGCACTAATGTTTTTTTAAAATACTTCCTCATATTAAAATGGCGCACGGAATTTATAACAGATTTAAATGCGTTGACGCTCACCAGTTTTAACCCAGCACTGTCCGTCTCTGAAATGGTATTGTTCGAGACACGCGCATTCACTGTTGACGCACACGCCTGCCTCACCTAGTGATGCGGCGCATTGCTCGGTCACATTACAAGTAGACCCGTAACCAGATACCGCTAGTAACAGAGAACATCACTATCAAAGTCAAAGTCAAAATAATCTTTATCCATATAGTCTTCTTAAAAGTAGTTTTGAATCGTCCAATATTATTTTCCTCTACCACTCGTTCATGACGCCTTTTGGCTGATGAGAAGAACTAGCAAGAAACTCACCAGCTCTAATAGGAGTAATGACATTCACAAAAACCATGTCATCATGCTCGGTGGCGTAGTGGATAAGCGCCGCGGCCCACGATCGTTGTCGTTAAGCAACTTTCGCAAGGGTCGGCCACGGGATGGGTGACCAAAAAATTATTATCTCTAGCTACTCCGTGCTTCGGAAGGCACGTTAAGCCGTTGGTCCCGGCTGCATTTGCAGTCGTTAACACCCTCCAATCCGCATTGGGCCAGCGTGGAGAGTTATGACATATCTTCCTTTACCATTCATAAGGAAGGCCTGAACTAGTGATGAAACGGAAGCAGAAACAGAACCAGAAGTCGAAACAAAATTTAAGTAGAAACGGAAGTGTAAATACTATGAAAAAAATGTTTGTATTATGTGCATTACGGTAAGTTTTATAAACGTTCATTATAGGTTGTCATTGATGAATGTCAAATTAAACTGACTGACGGACTAAATAGCAATTGTTTTTTTTTTTTTATCCAATCGTCATACCTATTTTGAGATACAATTAGTTTAGATGAATCTATCCAGTTGTTGGACCATCTTCAAGTCCAAACATTCTTATCTGTTATAATTCAGATACCTTATACCATACGTTAAGTTCCAAAACATATCAATCAGCATTATAAATCTTCTTTCACAGTGGTTTTACCAAGTCGAATAAGACCAATCGTTAAGTATTATGAATTAACTACAAATTACCTAGGACACTTCTGCTAAGTTAGCATTAATACGGAAAGTGAATAGCGCTTTAACTACAACCCTTCATGCTACAGTTCTTGGTACTATATCACAAAAATAATAAACTTGACAATGCCTCTAATGCACAGATAATCGTCACACAAACTTATTAAGACTTTAAGAAGACGAAGAACGACAAAATTATAAGAAATATTTGAAATTTTCTGAATTTTCGTTTGGAAACAAACAGAGTAAGCCCTCAGAAGTAGCAACATTTTATCACTCACCTGGCCAGCAAGAAGCAGCAGAAGCAACAAACTCTGGACTACATTGGCACGTATTAGTTGATTTTACACAAATTGTATTTTCTATTGCACAATCAGCCGTCTCCACGCATGTACCACCAATTTCTGTAAACAAAAAAAACTGTTCTAAACATATTCTTAATAAAAAAATGCTTAAACATTCCACCAGCCCAAGATACTCTGAAATGGGACCATCTCATTGTACCTGGGGCTTGATTCATTAAGAATATTTTCCAAGTGAATGCAAACTTGATAAAATATAATACTTATAAATAATTTAAGTATAAAAAATTATATATTCCGATCCCCAAAACAAAATTTTTCGTCAAATAATATTCAGTTGTATTAAGTTGTATTATGGCTTGGCTACAGAAAATTCTTCTTTGGAAAATTTGTAATCTAAATGGTCCCCCGACTGCAATGAAAATTTTGTTTATGCAGCTGTGTTTTTAAGTTTTTTTTATATATATATTTTTGTATTGCCAGGTATTACCAAACAGGTTTATGTATTTAGGACACGTGATGTTAATTTCTCTGTTTAAATATATTTACCTCTTATTTTATTCTAAATTATCAAATAAGTTTTAATAAATAGAGAGTAGAAAAGTGTTTGATTATTTTCTAACAATAAATTAATTAGAAAACTAAAGAATAGGGGCCCCATTTTAGTGCCTTGGGGAACTGTTAAGGAATATAGCCCTTACAATGATTTTCACTCACCAGGAGCACAGCTATCTCCAATTTGCTGATAACCACCACCGCATGAACAAATACCATTACTGCAAACAGCGTTGTCAACGTTAGAACATTCAATATCCACCTGACAAGTGTCTCCTAGGTCTGGAAAAGAAACGCTAATGTTAGTGATACAATACAAAATCTAATGTATATGTGGCGACTTATCCATAGCGACATCTAACCCACCGCACTAACATCGCCACAACAACCGATAGCAAGACTAACTGCAAGGATTTTCAACGCACAGTGACGAGATGGCGCTGTACACCTTTAAGATAATACAAGTCATTTAGAATAAAGGAAACCTACATCGCCCACAATAAGTTTCATTACCAATTCGCATAAATAGAATGTCCAACCTATATCGGTTGTACCGTGGTCCGCGGGCTAACAACACCTTGCTCGGAGGGAGACAATTACTTTTAGTCTCTCTTGGCAATTGACTCCATCATCCAGTAGGACCACACCTTTAACCGTTTACGGTTCCTACATATATCTGCTTCAGGGATTTGAAAATATCACAAATTACTATCTTGAGGTGAGTGCCTAAATCAGAAATCACTCATTTTAAATTAATTCTAAATAGGATTGTGTCCTACCGAATTTGTAGGGAGTATTTTCGGCCGACTAGCAGCAGTTCCTTAAATGCAGCGCCGTATCTCCGAAACTATTAATCGCAGACATGCTGTTACTTCAACATTATTTCTCAGATATTAATGGAATATTAATATATAAAATAAAAAAGTAGTAAACTAGCCTATTGTGAGCGAAAAAATTTAATATAATTGGCCATTTACATTATACCTTATTTAGGCCTCTCATGGTGAACGGGACATGACCAACCACGCGGAACCAGTGCGGACTGGTGCTTAATATATACCTTCCGAACCACCGAAGAGTTCGAGGTAATAAATTTATGGTCACCCATCCTATGATCGGCCATTGCATAAGTTGCTTAACTAGTATATCGCAGACCGAACTCTCTAACGTTGCGTCATTAAGCTCTTTCAACATACATATCATTTAAAACTATAAAAACAGATCAAGTGTTTTGTCCACAAAACCACTTCATGGAGAGGCAAAGCACTACTTGAGATCGTGGCAAATGGCGAAAATGAGGGCTACAAGTTTTTCGCTCACTAGATGGCGCTACAGTAGCGAGAGGTCCTGTCAAAGTTTGTTTATTACAAGACTGAACTTTAATCATACGTACCAACATATAATAAACCATTTTATTAAAAATATCGAACATGTCCTATAAACTCTAACCTCTTATTTAGCTGTCTTTCAGGCTTAATTTAACACTAATGTTTATGAGCTCCGTTTATAAAGCACTGACATTCATTGACCGGTAATTCATTATTGCCAATATGAATATCCAGTACCCCAAAATAAGCGCGAAAAATCGTTAATTTGTAAGGAACCACGCGTAGTTCACCAAGAATGTATAATATTTGACATTTTGAAGACCTCACGCTACACTAGCACCTCTAGTGAGGAATTCAAATGCGTTAGCCCTCTTTGAAGGAAAGTCAACGCATACCCGGAGAGTCGAGACATGCTGGAGAGAGAGAGAGAGAAAGAGATGTAACTAATGCACAATATTTATCGGATATCACTTACCCTGATTCATTTGTAAGCACAGACCGTCCATAGCAACGAGCCCTTCTGGACAGCTGCAGACGCCAACACCTTCATCGTTTTTCACGCATTGTATTTCTATATCTCCGGCGATGCAGTCACTGTCTACCTCGCAGCTTTCACCGATACCTTGTTTTAAAAATTACGAAAGCATATTAAAACCTTTTTAGTGATAGTGGCCTTTATAAAAACAAATTAGAAACAAGATTTTTTTCTATGGTCATGGCCTTTTTTGAATCGAAACTTTTTTATGGTTAAAAACAATTGTTCACTAATGCGAGAATAATAGCCAAGATAATCCAGTGAGCCAATCCAGTAAAACTAGAAATCATTATATTTCATTAGACTGTGTTGAGGCTTTACTCGACCCTTTTCCGTGTTCTGTGAATCGACCAATACTGGCCTGGCTTACTGATCTGTCTCAGCTTCGTGTTAATGGTCCATTACGCTCCTACATTACAGTAATTATTCAAAGATATAATGTATTTTTTTTCTTAATCTTGCGACTCTAGAAAATGTTTCTAAAAACATGATTGTTGCCGACCTTTTCTACCTTTATTTATTATTTATATATTTTAAAATTACTGTCATTCTTTTATAATCATTGATGTTTAAATTATTTATAATTGTCATCGGTTCTTTGTGTCATACTAATAAACTATATTGTATATTTTATATAATAAACCCATTATTTGTGCATTATAATCGTTCATTTTCACTATTCAGCCCCATTTCCACTAGCTCTCCGTTTCAATGTTATTACTCAAAATTTAATATGGCGGCAAAAGACGCCTTATAAAATAAAAAAAAAATAGAAAAGTAATTTAAAAAATTCTACAACCTTGAATGCAGAAAAAACGAATTGCTGAACTTCGAATGCGCATGATTCGACCATAAAGTTTCTAGAAAAACTATAATTTATTTATAATCTTTTGACATTAAACAAAAACGTGAAAAGCTTGGTGGCGCATATGATTGTGTCTTTATTAACTTAATGTCTTTTTAATCATTGTTATAAAAAAAGTGGTATAATTCTGCACATCTTGTCCATATAACCTTTAACTGCGGCTAAGGAGAAGGCCTTAAACTGCCCTGGAGCAGTTTCATGTTTTAATAAGATCAAAAAAACAAAACATACACATAATTTACATTTTTAACGCAAAATATAAATACATCTAGTGGGGTTTCGGAATACAGTTTATAAAGAAACAATCTCCCCGAAACAACGGAACTCATTAGAACCTAGAACATTCTAGGCTGGCCTCAGCCCTACTGTAGTATTCGCGGTATTACTAATACGTTCTAGAACGGCTACCCGTCCCATTCTTCCCCAGTGACCGTCCCTTCATTTCCCGCCACATTATAACTAGCATAAATCACAAGTCCCGTAGTCCCGATAATTCATATAGCATAAGTCCCATAAATTGCAAATGCGCTGGAACCTTTTCTAAATAGCATCCGTGTGACGTCATATTATAATAGAAAGTATAGATAGCAGAAAAGGCAAGAGATAAATTATTTATTATTATTGAAATATTTATAAATAATCCCCAAAATATTGTTATAATAATTTAATAATTTTTAGTTCGTTAATTTATTTTAATTTTTTTTGTAAAAGAATCAATTTATATGTAAATATATGGCAAATAAAAAAATACGAAATATAATAGGTACTTATTTGTAATAACGCGATAACAAACGGAAAGGATATTTTTTTGAAACATAACCTAAAATAATATGTAATGGGGGACATTAGATATATTAATTATTAGTAAAATTATGTTTACTTATCCTGAAAATCATAATAGCAATTGCTACAAACATAACAAGTAACAACAAACTTAACAATACTAAGCGAAACCAACAAAAACATAACGAAATTGATGTGCGATCAAAACCCAAACAAACTCAACAAGTGTTTATTTGTTGACGGTACTGATTTTTGAACGCAATCACATCACCAAAATGGCGGTCAGGCGCATTAGCAATTAGCGGGGATTATAACTAGAGTTCTCACCAGAAAACAATGCGCAGATTCTCCTCTGTTCATTCCACACCGTCTCTCCAGGGGTACATTCGCAGCTATGCAAGCCCCATGGTCCGGTATATACGCACCGAGCGAATACACCGAAAGTGTGACAGGTGGCATCATTGAAACAGAAGTCTTCTAATCTTATGGCAGCTGATGAATAAAAGTTATTTCTATGTTATTCAGTGTAAGAATATTTTTAGATTCAAACTATATTTATATGCTACCATGTATTGGAAGGGTCGCTAGTTTCTTGAATGATTAAAACTCCAATAACACTAAATAAGAATCCAAAAATTATTATTTACAGTTAAAACAGAAATTTACGTGTTATAAGAAAAATCTTAGATGGCAGACGCTGACGTAACGAAAAAAGACATAAAAAACTTAAAATAATATACAGCCTCTTTTGACACCATGTATCTTATTTCAATTCCTGATATTTCGGCGTTATTGCAAACGCCATGATCACGGAATAACGGAGTAAAAAACAGTGCGAAAAAGAATGCGAGTTGCTTAAATAGTTTTTTTATTCTTGTTTTTTTTGTATTTGTGGTTAAAGCGGTAACAGAAATACATCATCTGTGAAAATTTCAATTGGTAACTTTCACGGTTCATGAGGTACAGCCTGGTGACAGGCAGACAGACAGCGAAGTCTGAGTAATAGGGTTCCCGTTTAACCCTGGGGTACGGAACCCTAAAAACAAGGTACATGGTAGCAATCCCGCAAAATACTTTAATTACAATGTCTATATTATTCAGCTATTTCTATATTATTCATTATAAGAACTTTTTAGAAACAAGCTTTTGTCAAGAGAAATTGCCGAATTACCGAAAGCATTGGATCAATTTAAAAAAATATCACCAACGCGAAGCTCTTAATGTAGCTTCCCGTGGTTAAAAAATTAACACAGGTAAAGTTATAGGAAATAGCTAGAATCAAATAGAAAGCTCTATGGTAAGCGTCTAAGTTTTTTATGATTTTGAAATATATAATGAACTAAGAAGTTACGTCATTATTTAAAGATACCGTGACTAACTTCTAGTTCATCACTCATATTAGACCATGGATATTGTCTCAGACCAAAGTGTTTGTCAATAACTAAATGAACTCAAACTCTGATATAGATAGAATAAAATAGAATACAATAATCTTTTATTGACATCTATATAAATTACAAAGAAAGATAAAAAATGATGATAATAATAAAAAAAATAAAACACAATGTAAATAGAAAAAACAAATACAAGTTTTATAATAAGGTAGTTGCCAAATGGGCCATCAGCTCAGCATAATGTTAAGCACAACAGTACCTAACGCTGATTTTCAGCTGAAACCCTAACGTGACAAGGTACGCACGAATATCAAAATATTAATATATATTTAATTAAATAACAATTCATTTTTATTAATAAATCAATAAAATAATAATTAATGTTAAAAAATATATTTAAATTATAATATGTAATTAATAATATAATAAGTCAGTATCCACTAGAACAACAACAACCCACAAAAAAAAGACGTATCATAAATATTTGGCAGTGCAGCGTACAATTTTACGTGTTCATACGCAAATTTTCACATTCCTTTTGGACTTTTTCCAAATATAAATCTCGTAGTCTACTCTTCAGTATGAATACAGAGGAACTAAGAGAAATAGATGTTTATTAGAGCACGAGAAAAGTTCCATTACGGCTCAAATTTTCCGTAGCAAAGTGGTTCTCGCGCCGGTTTCAAGTTCTCCACATCTGAGGTCCAAGCCTCGAGGTCGGATCAATGTAAAAAATAATAAGATTGTCTCAGATCAGGGTATCGTGGAACCTTCGTTGTTTGGAAATCTCCATAAAACAAGGGCTTTATGATCATCATAGAATCTGAGCAACGTATGGGATGTTGTCTATAATATTTATTATTGTCCAAGTTATCAAAGTTTGTCCAAGTATTGCATGAAAAATTTCAGCTCAAACCAAAACCGGGAAAAACTAATATGGCATGTTAAGTAAAAATAAAAATTTCTACATTTTTTTAAGAAAGAAAATTTAACTTACGCTTCACGCAACCTCTCATAGCCTCGTCAAAATAGAAATTGACTTGACAATTGCAGATGCCATCTCGTACTTCCGTGAACATACCGACGCATTGATCAGGCGACGTAACAGGCGAACCCATTTCTAAAAACCAAAACTATTGAATTTCATCAGGCGTTTGATAAAGCGGAATCGTTATACGGTGTACCACAAGGAAGAGTTTTGGGGCCGCTTTAATACCTTTTCAAATATAGTAATTTTTATGAAAAACTTGCTATTTAAAGTACAGTTTTTGAAAAAACTGTAGAAAATTAAATTAACCATATAGAAAACTTAAAATATGTTATAAAAAGATCAATTATCAAATATAAACGTTTCAGTTACCAGCTAAGCAGACTGTTCCGGCATCGTTCGGATAGTATCCCAATGGGCAAATGCACACTCCTAGACTGGAACATTGGAATGGTGCTACGCAATCGTTATTATTGCTACACACTAGACCATGTTGTCTGGTCTCAACAGATAGTGTCAGTGAAGCTGCGACTTCCGAATTTTCCTCAATAGATGTCGTCGGTGATGCAGCAAGTTCCGATTTTATTTCTGTCACGTCCTCATTTGCTGATGATTCTGTAATATGTATTATAAATATGATATTTTAAACAGTGTCTAATATATATTGGCCGCTAGTTTTAAAATGAGGAAGAATTAAAAAAAAAATAGTTCCCGAAATCTAACTAGATGTCGCCACGGTACGTTCTTGATTACACTATGGCAACATTTCCGGTTTTCATTCGTGTTCAAAAAAAAATTAGTTTTCAAAACTCAATAAACGACTCATATTCAATTTGTACTTTTTCATATTTGAATTGGTATCTAAGTTTCGAACTTTTCAAATTTCAGTTTTATAATATGTTAGTTAATAGGAACTGAAATGACTGTCGTTGGTCCATTCGTTTCCTGCAAAAATCAACTTTTGCTAGAGTCGCCATCTAGTGGAGGTGCTTTTTAGTGCTTTCGTTTTTTTTAATACTTCCTCATTGGAAATGCCCCATTAAATCACGTATCTGACTTTGTTTCTATTCTATTATGGCTAATATACTCGTATCTTTTTAATTTCATCGGTACGCAAAACAGCCAGAGCCACAAATAATACACGAGTAGCTAAACTATTATTGCAACAATGTTTTAATCATAAAAATTAAAATCAAAACAAAAAAAAGACTGAAGTTACAATATCAACTCGACAACAAGAGGGAATGGAATCGACTTTGAAAGATGCGTTGAGAAAAGTATGACAAGTATGCAATGCATAACGTTAAAAAATATATACACATACTTTTTTTTTGTATAATATGGCAGGCACGGCTTGTGCATTTTGCCAATACACATACTTATTAGACATGATTTTAACATAACTGTTTATGTGCACACAATGACAACTATCATATACCATAGACACAATACCTATCAAACCAAACATCGTCAGTAGTTAAATGACTGTCCTTTCATTCAATTTTCAAATGCTTTATTAATCCAACAAATTTAAAATGGCGACTTACCGCTGACGCATGTGAATGTGGACATTTGGCAAGCTCCACCCTCAAACTGACAGTCCTCGTCAATAACACAGGCGTCACCAACGGCTGCAACAAAAAATGAGTCTGATAAAAATTGATCTATAATAGGGATAACGTCTGGGTTTATAAAAATTCCTATTTATTCCGGCGTATTTTGTTTTGCATCAATTTAACCCACTCTTCCCCTCTTTTTACTGTTTTTTTCATTTATTTTTCTCAACTACCAATAAATACATTGGTTGCCTAGAATTTGCTGGTAAAGCCGCCATTTGTGTATTATTTGTTTGAAGTTTCTTTTGTAATTCGCCCGGTTTATGTTGTGCTATAAAGATTATTATTTTCATTATTTTATTCGTGAAATTTAAATCGATCACGTGACATTTAGAGCTGTGACGTCACATTTCAATAAACATTAATACCGGTTGCACTCACAACAAAGACATTGACGTTTACTTTATTGAAATGTGACATCACACGACGCTCCGTCATGGCTGCCCGTTTTTGGTTGTGTAGGGTAATCCAGAGAGCATTCACTATTTAATTTTGCCAAAATAAAATATATTTACAGTTTACTTTAGAACAAATAATACTATGTAAATTCCCATTTCCAACATATTTCATTAATTATTACAATTATCAAGTAACAAATTGTATAAGCCATTAAAAATTAATGACTTAATTTGTATCTGAAATATGCCTTGTTATTTAGGCGGTAAAAGAACTGCATAAGTATATAAGAGTGTTATAAAAATAATATTCTTAGTCGAAATGCTTCGAAAATCCACTGTATCCCTGGTACTCTGAGATGGGACTAACCCATAACCTTTCACAATCCGGCGACTGGTCTAACCATTTATCTACCCAGGACCTAACAGAACTGACGAGTTTTTCAAGCACTTCTTACTTTTCGCTACTAGTTATCTTCAAAAGCTTCTAATGCCCACAAAACGTTAATATAAAAATTAAATATACTTCGCTAATACAGAGCGTATTCTCATCAATGTCCAGGCAATAGGCTAGTTGACAACTTTTTTTTATTTCATAAATAAATAGTCCATTAACATCTGAGAAATAATGTCGAAGTAATAGCATGTCTGCGATTAATAGTTTCTGAGATATGGTGCTGTGTTTGTAGAACTGCTGCTAGTTGGCCGAAAACGCTCCCTACAAATGCACTCACTGACGTCACACGGTGCTACAGTAGCGAAAAATGTATGGGCGTCTGGACATTTTTTGTAATATCTTTGTTATTTGTGCGTTTATGTTTATAGCTGTTGTAATAAAAGTTCAACATTTTTTATATCTAATTTAATGCTTTATATATTTTAGCAAATTTTTGTAGTAGATTTTTTCTACTTTTTTCAAGTTTTCAAAGCGTTATATTTTCTCAATCAGTGACTTAAAATTTGTTTTGTTAAACACTTATAAGTTAAATTGGTTCATTTCGAAGATATAACAAAAACCTGTATTTTCTTGTAGGACACAAGCCTATAAACAAAAAACAGCCGAAATAAATATTTTTAAAAATATTTAAACTTTCTATAAAGATGAAAATTTTGTTCTAATTATTATATTTCGTCCTACTATTTGAACTTAAAGTAAAGAATTAATGTTTTATTTTGATAACAACATATAAACTGATTATTTTTGACATTTGATATATAATAATTGACTTTTGAATATAATTTGTTATTTGTTGATTTTGTAATTTCATTTTCATTTTACATGTAAAAATTATTTTATTTACTTGACATTGGCAGAATTGTGCGAAATGCGCAGATAAGCCATTAATTAAAAAAGAAGAAGAAGAATGTGTGTCACTGTTGTATTTTTATAGAATAATATATTAACTGACGCCTATGTCTTGTAACTGTAGTTTATTATTATGTAATTATAATTGTATTGTAACTAAATAATTATTTTAATGCAAACGCATATGGAATATCTTGTTACAAATGCTGTGCATGTCTGTAACTGTCATAAATGCTAGATAAGTGTCATTTAAAAGGTTTACTGAATTATTTTTGTATTTGTGATGTTGAAGTGCCTTGAGTAAAGAAAATAAATAAATAAATATTTTATAAATTTTCCATTCTATACTGAATAATATTCTTAAAGAAAGATGCTTAAGTAAGTAAGTAAGTATTTTTTTATTGACCTTCACATTACACTTTACAATTATAAACAAAAAAAAAATGAATAATAAAAAGTGATACAGAATATAGAAGACAGTAATACACATAATTCAATCCATCATGTACATGTGATGTGGTCAACCAGGACACTACCTCAGCTTGTGCTGTTGCAGTGAGAATCAGCTCACGCAACAGCGCTGATATTCTGGCAGAGCCTGTGGGTAGTGACATTTGATATAATTTTAAACAATAAAAATAATGTATGTGCTTATAATACTAAGTGTCCGTTACATTCCTGAACGCGAATAACGAGTTGTCAGTATACAACACTTCACCCCGCGACCCAACCATATGACAGAAAGTTTCGCCTTATTAGTCTGTGACCTAGAAAGTTTTGCCTTATTAGTCTGTGACCTTGAAAGTTCCACCATATATTGACGTAAGCAAGCCAACGAGAAAAAAAAATGAAAAATCCTACGTAATCAAGTTTTAAAAAAACTACTTTCCAATAATAATCGAATAAATAAAATATAAAAAAATGTCTTTTGCCCACTCACCTAATGCTTTCTTCCTGCATTCTCCACGTTGCCTCAAGTAGTACTCCGGCGCGCAATCACAGCTGCCATCATGACATATCATGCTGAACGGATCTCTCAGTACATGCATGCATTCTTCGTCCCTGTTACATTGCTCCCCCCAAGGCGTAGACGGCCAGCATCGTCCTCGGAAGTAATGGTGCCCATTCTGACAGTTACATTGGCCGGCTGTCAAAAATATAAACGATATACAACCGGTTTCTGAATTGAGAATTTAAAGGACATCGCCGAAAATGGCCCCAATATCATTAAATATTAATACTTCAATAATAATTACTAATTTATTTATTAAATTGGAATCAAATATTTATTTGACACGGACAAGCTGCGATCCAAAATTAATATTTAAAAGTATTTTAACAGTAACATTTTTATTCGCAAATATTCACATTCAATATACTTAAATTCTATTGAGTCAGATGGATGTAATTTACACGTCAGATCAAGAAGATCATTTATTTTTATTAGATAACCTTTAAATCATCGAACACAAAAACATTAAATTAAATTGATCGAATATAAACTTAAATTTACTAAAAGCGCCATCTCTTGGTGATTTTCCAACTAAAACATAAGGACATAAAAACTGAATATTATACAAACTAAATTCATTAACTGTTGATAATTCACTCTTGTTTATTCAGAAAAGATTGATATTCATACGACATATCCTAAAAACTACTTTGTTTCTATTACATTACCTTCATATTTCTCGCAAACATATTAACATTATGTCATTTATGTATTTAAGGCGCCATCTTTTGATGTAAACCATCAAAAAGCTATAGGTTTTTTAATTTTAAGCTTATCAATAGGTATATTATTTAACTATTAGAATGATTTATTTGCCTATTGATTGACTTAGAAACTTTTACAAATCACAACGAAAAACCGGCTTCTTAAAGTTGAGTTTTTTTGCTTCAACAATATAGACATCAATATCATATCATGTACTTAGAGTGCCATCTCTTGGTGGTTTTCCAAACAAATTATAACCTCAAAATGAATTATATTTTGCGTGATAATAAGTTCTAAAACTCGGTCGCGGTATAATAAATACATAATGAGAATTAGTTAGTGACACACAATAAAATAAGTATTTTCCTATATTTTTTTGGCTCTGGGGCCACCAATGTATGGACGTTGAGCAATGTCCTTTAAGAACTTCTTAAACTGTACTTAAACGTCACATCAGTGGCGGAGTAACCTAACTTAATATTGCGTTTATAACTCGAGCATACGTTTTAAACTTTAATATATTATTATGATTTTGCCGTATGCCTGCAGCCATTTGGAGGCGCCAAGGACTGGAGGCCCGGGACGGACCGTCCCCTTCGCCCCCCTTCCACCACTACGTCACTGGAATAAGTTTTAGTTTCTATAATGATCAGTTTGATAAAACTAGGAATTTATTGAATTGTGTGACTTAAAATACTTAAGTTATTGGGTATAATCAGTTGAGGTATTGTATTTTTCTCAATACGGAAACGGGCCGATACAAATATAATATATATATATAATATTTAAATGCTTTACTGTTATTTAGAGGGCCGTATAAATAATTTTATCAAAAGTAATATTTATAATTAATTTTCTTTTATATTTAAACTTCATAATACTTACTTAGTTTGTTTCATCTTTTTAATTTGATTAAGTACAATTAAAACGATAAATGTTAATGACGTCTTATATTTTTCTACACAAATTCATTTAGTGAAACAAATATAAACGAAAATAAATATATATATATATATTATATTTACACCTCAGAGTCTTGCACGTGGCTGCAGCCCGTGCAAGGTAAATGCACACCACTGGGTTTTTTTGCTTGTAGAAATAGGTATATAACAGCAAAGCAGCTTGTTCAGACTGAGTCTTTACTGATATTTATAATAGATAAATTGTAAACATAATTTTTATTACGAAAACTAAAGCTAATTAATACATTTTCATTAGCTTTTTAAAAGTCTTACAGCTAAACAACGAGAAAATAATAAACCTAATAACAGTAAAAATCGAATAATAAGTCACACTTTTTTAAAACATTATTCCTAATAAAAGTAAACGCAAATTAAATTAAATATATCTTTACTAATATTATAAAGCTGAAGACTTTGTTTGTTTGTTTGTTTGAACGCGCTAATCGCAGGAACTACTGGTTCGAATTGAAAAATTCTTTTTGTGTTGAATAGACCATTTACCGAGGAAGGCTTTAGGCTATATAACATCATGCTGCAACTATCAGGAGCGAAGAAATAATGGAAAACGCGGACGAAGTCGCTAGCGGCCACTAGTATAATATAATTATTTTTCATTTTATAACGTTTTTAATTGTAAAATTGTTAATTTACCCCCTTAGGAGTCGAACTTCGTAAAATCCCGTCTTAGTGAGCACATACGTACTAAAAAGAACCCGCATGCAATTTGAGACTCCTAGCATTGTAAAAACGAAGTTCTATACAAACTTTCATCCCCTAATTTAGCCCCTTCGGATTTAAATTTTCAAAAACCCTCTCTTAGTTACTCTCCCTAAGGAATCTTCATTCCAAATTTCAACTTTCTACGCTCATTACTTTCGGCTGTTCGTTGTCTGTCAGATAGTCACTCGATAACGCAAGAAATTTATATACCTATATAGAAAGACAAGCTTTTGCCCGCAACTTCGTCCGCGTGGTAAAGTTACTTTGAGCAGCATTTCTAACGAATATTAAAAAAATACCTGAAATAAAGTTTCATCCCCTATTTTATCCTCTTTGGGGTAGAATTGATCAAAATCCTTTCTTAGGGAATGCTTAGGTCATAGTAGCTTTATACATGCAAAGTCTCAGCCCGATCGGTTTAAAATTGACAAAGTTTCATACAAACTTTCATCCCCTATTTTATCCCCTTGGGGTTAGAATTGATCGAAATCCTTAGCGGATGCCTACGTCATAACATCTAGCTGCATGCCAAATTTCAGCCCGATCCGTCCAGTGGTTTGGGCTGTGCGTTGATAGATCACTATGTCAGTCAGTCCTTTGAGTTATATATATTTAGATAGATAGAGATAGATTTAAAGTAAGAGAAGAAAATATTATTAACCTTCATTAGTTAGTGAGTTAGTTGGGCGGCGACATTCAAAATTCGTAAAGAGCCGGGAACATTGGAAGTCCTCGTAACACGTTGATGTATGATAAGGTGCCGCTGTAAAAATGTCAAGATAAAAATTAATATAGTATATCTTTAGTATAGGTGACGTAGTGCATAAACACCACGGTCCGCGATCGTTATTGTTAAGCAACTTTCACAATGGTCGGTCACGGGATGGGTGACCAGAAAATTATTATCTCGAGCTATTCCGTGCTTCGAAAGGCACGTTAAGCTGTCGGTTCCGGCTGCATTTGCAGACGTTAATACCCTCCAATCCGGATTGGGCCAGCGTGGACTTATGACCCAAACTCTCTAGCCATCAAGGAATGCCTGAGCCACTACAGTGTTGAGGTAAAAGGACTGATAATGATGATAACTATACCAACGTCATGTAACGAGGGCTAACGCGTTTGAATTTGCCACTAGAGGCGCTAGTGTAGCGTGAGGTTTTCAAAATGAGGAAGTATTTAGAATAAAAATTTCAAACTAGATGTCGCTACGGTACTTTCTTAATTTCTCCATGACAACCCTTCCGGTTTTCTTTCATGTATAAAAGTAAATTAGTTTTTATAACTCAATAAACAACTATTCTATTTGTACTTTTACGTATTTGTATTGATATCTAAGTTTCGAACTTTGCAAATATCAGTGTTTTATAAGTTAGTTTAAAGGAACGGAAATGACTGTCTTTGATCCATTCGTTTCCTGCAAAAATCAACTTTTGCTAGAGTCGCCATCTAGTGGAGGTGCTTTCTTTTTTTTAATACTTTGCCCCATTGCAAATATCGTAGTTTATCTGTGAAGTACAAGCATCATTTTCAATAAAGTTTTGTGCATGTCAAAGTAATAGAATCAAATATCAACGCAAAGTAGTAAAAAGAACCAAATATTCCCATTGCAACGCTAAGATATTGTATTCTATGAGTAAACAGTTAGTCTGTGACAACCCAGTTCTTTATTATATTTGAGTTCGGTTCGCTGATATAAGGACACGGACGTGACTATTATAAAAAAAATAAAAAATTACGTGCAACGCAAGCGGTGCCTCCTAAAACGTTCTGTGTTCCCGCTGGACATACGCACTCGCTGTTAATGCATACGCTGCCTGTGAGCGTGGAACAATCACTGTCTCCAGTACAAGACCATATAGCCACGCCGAAATCGCAGTTCAAAGCCAGCGCTGATAAAGAGACAAATATTTTAGATATACAGCGCCATCTATGATTTTGAATATTATTTTTAAAATAACCGACTTAAAAAAAGATAGTAATATATTCTTAAGGAAAAATTCGTAAAAAATCCACCTTGTCCCTGGCACTCTGAGATGTTACTCGAACCTATGACCTTTTGCAATCCGCAGTCTCGTCTTAAGCACAACAGGCGCCCGGGTGCAAGTAGTGCTCTGGCGTCCCCCCCAGCCCACTTTTTACACATATTTATATTAGAGACCATCATCGGCGAGGCGCCCCCCAACGCGCCGCGCAAGGTTAAGCCACCCCTGGCAATCCGGGCGACTGCCCCAACCACTGAGCTACCCAGGACCTAACAGGACTGACGAATTTTTTAGTGAGTGAGTGAGTAGAGTGCCGGGGACAAAGTGAACTTTTTAACCATTTTTCATTCAGAATATTTTTCAGTATGCACTTGCAAAATCAGTATGCACAGCAAATGCAAATTTGATAAGTATTATTTTTCACTTCTATAACAACAAATACTGTAACAGTTGTTTTTTATATATTTAGTTAAACATACGAATTGTTTTTTTATTCATTTTCTGTTTGTTACAGTTTTTCTTTACCCTTTAATATTTATCATAAAATAAATCAATTCCCAAGCTTAGTCAGCTTTTCATTAATTCGCCCAAGCATCAAAACCGTCACAATACTAAAAGATATATATTTATGAAAAGATATAATACTAAAAGATATACAATACTAAAAGATATATATATATGGCTAGAGAATTATACTCCGTCTAATTCTCTAGCCTTGATTCTAGCTATAGCTATAAAAAAATTATCATTTTTATCAATGAATCAGTTACTATCCATTTAAAATTGGAACCTTTTTATTATTTATATATTTAATCAAACATTTTGGTTTATTTTTCTTATCAAAATAACTTTGTTTATTTTAATTCGA